ACATTTGAAGTGGATCAAAACCTTTCATCAAAGTTGTCCTAAAACCTAAATGCGTTCTTGTCTTAGGACAAATATTAATGAACTTTTTTGATCCACTTCAAATGTTGACTACTGTATATATTTATATATATATATATATATATATTGCTTAACTTTTTTAAAAATAAGTTTTAATTATTTATCTGCCAAAATATTTTTTATTTATATTTTTATATATTTTTTTACATTTATTTACTGTGTAATAAACAAAGGATGCATACGTTTCAATACGTTTGTTATTTAGCTGATGCTTTACAGTACATTTATATTGAGTTATTCAAAACTATTCTTATATTGTCAATTTTGGGTTTGTTAATCAATTTTGAGTGCTAAAAGTGCTTTTCTGAATCCATTTCTGAAAGCAAATGAGTTTATGTCTCACCTGAATGTTTTTTCTCTCTCTCTCTCTGCAGCGGATCACATTTTAACCCTCCATTCACCATCGCTATCTGGTTATGTGGTGGAATTCAGCTGACGATGGCTGTTCCCTACCTTATCAGTCAGCTTATCGGAGGTGTGCTGGGAGCTGCAATGTCAAAGGTGTGAACAAGACTGCACTTATTACACAAATAGAAAATAATATGAATATTTCCCACAACCCCAAACACTACTCAACAGACAAATGTATTTTGAAGGTTATGACATCACACGAGAATTATGTGAATGCTACCGGAGCAGCCTTTACTATTCTTAAATCTGAGGAGCAGCTAGGGAAGGTTGTGTTTGCTGAAATGGCCATGACGTGTCTAGTAACTATGGTAGTGCTGCTGGGAGCCGTCAATGGAAAGAGCAAAAGCCCCCTGGTGCCCTTCATGGTGGGCTGCACAGTTATTGTCAATGTTCTGGCAGGGTGAGTCTTAATAACAGGCATTTGTAGCGTGAGAAATGTTATGTATGTTTATGTAACGTCTGCTTTGTTATCATTTTTGTCTGTCTGAAAAAAAAAATCTGAAAAAATGTTTTATTTAAAAGAGGAGACGTTTCTGGCACCTGTTTGAATCCTGCAAGAGCTTTTGGACCTGCGTTGATGGCTAACTACTGGACTTATCATTGGGTTTACTGGGTCGGTCCGATAGGGGGAGGTCTGGTGGCTGCTGCTCTTGTGAGGTCAGTTTACCTTGATATCAAATCTGCCATTCCTTGTTTAGGACTTCCATTTCAAGAAATTATTTTTACAGCAGACTGTTACTGTATTGCTTTAACAGGCTTCTGCTTGGAGATGAGAAGATACGAGTTATACTGAAATGATATTGGAGCACCTCAGCATGCCAAAACCTCTCAATTCTTGATGACTTCATTACTTTTAAACAGTCTGAATATTTCACATGTCCAGCCTAACAGCATATATTGCATTTAAACTGTGAATTATTGTACTTGACTTTTATAAAACATGACCAACCCTTTTTCATTTTTTCCTTTAGATGTCAGTAAATTGTGTTTTGATAATGTTTTACATAAAAGAGTATGTTTTGCCTCAGGCTGTACTCTACAGTTTACTCTATTTCATGTATTTATATTATCAGTGTGTTATAAAGTATTGTGACTTTCCACAGTATAGAACAAAGAAAGAAAGTTTAAACCATATCCAACAAATGTCTAAATGCAAGATTTTTTATTTTTTTTTTGGCAGACACCAAACAAATTAAATCTGCTGTACAATTAAACCACTATATCTGGGGTACTCAATCCCATTCCTGGAGATTTAGAGCCCATCCAAAGAGTTCCAACCCTGATCAAACACACCTGTATGTAATTATCAAGTTCCCATGAAGCTCTTAATTTGTTGGTTCAGATGTGTTGTGAACTTTGCAGGAAGGTAGATCTTCAGGAACAGGACTGGGCACCGCTGCAATATAGTCACACTTTATTTTAAGGTGCAATTCTCACTATTAGTCTAACTAACTATTAACTACGATTTTGCTTCAGTAAACTCATAATTGTCTACTTATTAATAGTGAGACTTGGTGCTTAAAATAAAGCGTTAAGCTGTCACAAAGGCTCAATGGCTATTTAATTATTTCAGTAAAATGTTAGACTATTTTTTTCCCGAGACAAAATATTGTTAGTTACCTACCTTATGTGAAATAGTTTGTAGCCTTTTCTTGGTGTTTGTGCATGTGGCTCCTTGATAAAGCGTTTTCTCTTCACACAATCAAGATATCAGCTTTGAATGACCGTAAATGCCCTATCCAAGACTCACGTGACTCAAAGCTGCTTGCGCGTCAGTTGACCTCGTTCAGTTGACGTTCATTTATTTATTTACGGATTGCGGACTATTTTAATGCGATCATGCATTATAGGCTATATATATATATATATATATCTATCATAATATATTATATATTATATATAAAAAATGAAAAAGTATAAGCATATAGGCTATAAGTAAAAATAGGCTATATCATTTTTATATATTAAACCTATTGCAATATCCTCCTTATAGCCTAGCTCTTATTAAACTTGGACCGTAGTCTACTTTGTACAAAAAGGTGCACAAGTATTTTAGAAGTTTAAAGGGGTCATATGATGTTGCTTAAAAGTACATTATTTTGTGTATTTGGTGTAATGAAATGTGTTTATGCGTTTTAAGGTTAAAAAAACACATTATTTTCCACATACTGTACATTATTGTTTTTCCTCTATGCCCCGCCTTTCTGAAACGCGTCGATTTTTACAAAGCTCATCAGTCTGAAAAGCGAGGTGTGCTCTGATTGGCCAGCTATCCAGTGCGTTGTGATTGGCCGAATACCTCAAGCGTGAGACGGAAATGTTATCCGGCCGGAGCGACGAGACAAAAACATTAAAACCCATTATAAACGAGGCATTTGTTGCATCCAGTGGGGACATTATTAGGATTATAATGACTTATACTGTCTTTTTACGCGTTGCGTTGCATCGCGCCTCGTAAACATAAAACCATGTCTGCATTTGTGATTGGAGAAACAACAAACAACAAGCGCTACTCTGCACTGCTCAAAACTCGCGTTTGATCACCAGTGGCAAATCCTTTATATATGTAAACATACTTACAGACTGTGAGTCAGAACAGCCAGTGTTCTGACGATTTGTGCTACCCTGTCAGATTTTGCTACCTCCCATTAAAACAGATGGTAGCCTAGCATAATTCGATAGCGAAAAGTGCTACCTATCAGATTTTGCTTCCAGCATGATATTAATAAGGTGTGAGGCTTTATTAACATGTACACCTACCCCAACCCTAAACCTACCCTTACAGTAGGATAAATACAGTGTTGGTAGCATAATCTAATAGGTAGCATTATTTATCAGAACAGTCACACGACCCCTCAGAAATCATCCTAATATGATGATTTACTGACAGCTTGTAACACTCCAAAGAGAAAGGAAAACTTGAAATCGCATCCCTTGAAACAGAATGGATAAGAGTCACATGACCTGATGTGCCAAAATGATTTAATGTTTTCTTCAAGCAACAGCTTAGCTTTAAATCGCAAATCAAAGTTAAGTTTAAAATTAAAATGACCCTTGATTAACAAAAAATGTATTCATTTAATTGCTATAAATTTGGTCTAATCTAAGTTTAATCATTTAAAAGTTTCACAAATATAACGGAATTCATATGATCCCGTATTTATGTAGATTCGCGTTTTAAATGAGCATTTATTGCAAATTAATTTAGATTTTGTTCTGTGTCAGGGAAAACAATGCACAGGATAAGTGTCTCCAGATTTGTATTTTATTGACATGTTGCTGACCAAATCGACAAAACAACATTCAAACTGCTTAACAAATATCAAACTGGTTAACGATATTTGTCAGACAAAGCCAGGGCCACTCTTGCAAGAAACTTGTCCATGGCCAGGTGGGCTTCAGGTGTGAAGTCATCAGGGAAGAGCATGGCACACACCATAAGAATGTTGTGGGACAGGATCTGTTAAATGAAGATTAATAGACACCATTTTGAGCAAGACAACTTCGTAATGAGAACTATGAAAGTATGGCTAAATTATTCATAAATTAGCGTCAGCAATATTTACCCTGAAGTTAGCAGGATCCACTCTCAACTGAAAGGCATGCAGCTCGCTAAGAGTGAGCAGGCCGGCGAAAAGGTCGTCGATTTTCTCAACAGCCAAACCGATTCCAGCGACGACCTTCTTTCCATGCTTCCTCACAGGAGCGGATCCGGGGGTCAGGTCGCTCCAGTGAGAGAAGTAGGTTTTGGTCTGAGGGTAGACATAAAGCATTCTGCAAAATGGTGGGGAAATGTAAAAGCCGATTTATTCAGTCTTACATCTGCAAAATATACAGTCTATAGAAAAAAAAACTGATTTGACTTACCTGGACAACGCCTCATTGCCGATATCTTTAGCCTTTGGGGAGATCTTTGCCCAGAGGGCCTTCACAGTTGCTTTGTCTTTAGCAGAGAGACTCATTTTGAATCGATGTCTGAAATGAGTAGTCGTGCTTGGGTCAAATGACTTGCCCACCTAAACGTTGGTCCTCTTTTTAAGCGTTTGTAGTTGAGTGGGCACACCCAAGATACAGCCTAATTGCGTGTCAGATTGAACTCCTGCCAGTTAACACTGAAAATTGACATGATGCCCATTTTCCTCCCTCTTCGTTTTAGGGAGAACATGATGATACGTACATGCACACTTGAGTCACAAGAAACAGATATGGGCAGATCCTAATCAGACCATGTCCGCATCTTAAGTTCAAGTAACCCCACAACATGATTTGACTAAGTAATGAATTTATTTATTTAATAAGTTAGTACGTTAGTTAATTAGATCTTAGTAGGCCTATATGTAAGATATGTAAGATATAAGTTATGGCCATAGGCTATATGCTGCCTTCCTGCACCCAATATCTGTAATTTTACGCTCTTTTAATTAATTCATTTTTTTTTTTTTAATAAACAGCCAAATGCCGTTTATTTTAAGTGCTAATTGACTTTAATTATTGGAATGCAATATAAATCCATTATGCTCATGCACGTCTCATGTATGCGCTGGTTTTACATTTAATATGTTTATCACCTTTCATTCTTGCAAAACTGCATTAGTACTTTACGTGCTGATATAGGCCTATAAATGTTATAAAAAGTAACAAAATAAAAGGGTTAATA